ATCACTTGTATTTATTTACTGTCAAACTGAGAGAATTCCCATCGCTTCTGCCTTTGATACATGTTACGCAATCAAGTATTTGGCTACTGCATCACAAATAAATTATGAACATTATTCAAACAGCGCTAATGATGCTTAAATTTCGCAGCAAAAACAGTCGACAAACAAATAATATGCCATTTTTTCGTTGGCTCAAAATATGACAATGGCAGATGAAAAAGCACCAAAAAATAGAAGAAGAAAACATAGAGTAATAAATACGCATATCAAAATTAATCAGATCGGCTGGCTATGTATAAAAAAGTGTGCATTAATTTATATTCATCATATTTACATGCCACGTACAGCCGCAGCAGCAGCAGCAAGCGCCTTCGAGGGTAATAAATATGTGGACCTATGCTAAAATCCGGCTGGCATTGCGTAATAAATTTCACATTTTATTGGCCACACGCGAGAGGTTAGCGAGAACTTGGCATAAAGATGGGTGCGCTGGTAATGATGGGGATATGCGTCGCTTGGCAACGGATGGATACATTTTGGGGTTGTCTAGCTATCTCTAGATGGCCAAGGTCACTTCAATGTGCGGGAATGTTTTGGTTTTTCTTTCCATTCAATTGCCGTTCGCCTAAGGGCAGCTCTGCGTCAACGCGTCGTATGAGCAATTTGCATGTTTCAGTGGAGTCTAGACTGGAAAGCAAAAGGGGGGTCGGGGCGGGCTGCTGCCTCGGCTGCTGGTTCTTTGTTTGGCTCGGATTTGTCTATTTGAAGCTTTTTGTGGGTCAAGCCACAAAATGGCGGCAACGGCAGCGGCAGCAGCAGTGGCGACGATGATTTTATTTCTTTCTTGTGTTTTGTTTCGACGTTGCTAGGGTTTCTCAATCTATTTTATGGCAGCGCCACACTCTCATTGTCAAGCTACACGTTGCTGTTGTTGTTGCAATTTTAACGTCTTTGAAAGGCCGTCAACCACAATGCCGTTATTTATGTGCATGCGGCTTTTGTTTTGTTGCTTTTAGAAATATTTGAAAAGGGTTCTCGATGCTCGGCCCATTTTTGCTCCCTCTCCCATCATTTTCTCACTGCTTCAAAACGTGTGCAAAAAATGGCATTTTCCAATAAAAAGCGAAAAGAAAAGCGAAATGAAAACGTCAACTTGTTACATATAATTTCAAAATTATGGCGAAATCATGCGAATGGGTTCGTGTCGGAGCGACAGCTGCAGTCAGAAATGTGCTCAACCGACGTCTGAATGTCAGAAAAAGCATAAAATCTCTCAAGTGTAATAATTTATAACGCATGAAGCATAAAAGCAATTTTGATTTAAACAGTTTTAAATGTTTTATCTCATTTATAAATATTTTAATGATAAACTAATTGAAAAACATCTAATACCTTTGAATAGGTTTAGTTGAACAGCTAAGTCTGTATTAAGTTTCAATGTAATTACATAAAACTAAGCACATTATTTGTGAATTGAAAAATCGCTCAATAATTCGCTGGCTATTCAAATGGCCACAACTTATCATCGAAACAATTTATCAAATTGAAAAAGAAATAAAATAAACTAGACTCCAAATATTTAAATACATATCTCTAAATAATAGAGATAGAGAGAGAGACACAGCATTGCGCTTCAATTAAGCCGAGTGCTGTATGCGTTAACGATAACTAGGCAAATCAGGCAAATGCATTGATCAAATATGCAGTCAGGCATTTGATACCATAGCCATAGCCATAGTTTGAAATATCTGCGGTCTGGGGTGCTGTCAGGCTCGAAATGATTCGTGGTCGCGATTCGCGTGCGGCTCGTTGCGTTCATGAATAAATCGCAAAACAAATTCCAAACACAATTTATTCGACGCAACATTTAACATAGCCAAATTGTGAATTTATTTAATTTTTTATTTGAGCAACATTTGCGAGAGCAAAGAATACATATAAACTATGATAAAACTTCTTAAATTGCTAAATTTATGTGAGTTCAGACCTCAAATAACAGACATTTTCCGTCTTATTGACAAAATTATAATTTTTATTATTTCTTCCATAACACTCTTAAGTCATTAAAAACGGATCTACATTGATTTTCTCATAATAATAATGCACTTAATCTGAGCACTTATTTAAGCTGTATTTTGCTCTTTAACATGCTTCCGTTAGCTATATAAAATAGTCTTGCACTTAAAACGCTTTGTAGAAATAAACTGTGCGTAACAGCTGAGAGAACATAAATAAAAATAATTACAACAGCAACAACATTGCAGTTAAATGCACAACAACAACCATAAGATATCATAAGCAAAGCAGTGAATGCAGCATAATCATTGCATACGCTGACTGCACTGCTTGCAGGCAGTGCAGCAGCAACACTAACACGTTGCTGTGTGGAAAATATTTATGAGCGTGGCTTTTACGCCAAATGCATTCTATAAAATGTTAACCCCACCCTGTGTTGCTGTTGTCCCTCTCTCTCTTTCACGCTGCCTGCCGATACACTGCGTGTGATGCCTCTGCTCTGCGTTGTCGCATTTTAACTTAACATTTTCGTAAGCGCGTAAATATCATTGGCGCTTGTGCATTAGTGTGTGTCTCAGTGTGAGTGTTAAGCAGTGCGTTAAAGTGTTTATGTGTTTGTTTACGTGCGTGCATCCGCGTCTACGTCGCTCTGTGTGTTTGTGTGCGTGTGTATATGCCCTGTCGCAGGCCAGTTATTTCTGTTTCTTCTTTTTGCACTTTACGCTTTTTGGCACTCAAACGCTGTCGCAGTCGCAATCATAGCCACCTGCAGCGCTATCGCGTTCCTTTTTTCTCACTCCATCTCTTTCGCTCCCCTTCCACTCGTATGCTAATTTCGCTCAGCACATTTTATATTTATACGTTGCTGACAACAACAGGCTACAAAATTGCAGCCAACTTAACTGGGAAAACCGCAGGGTTGCCAACGCTCGTTTCGTTTGAAGTTGCTTACTGCCGGTACTGCTGCTGCTGCTGTTGTCATAATTAAAACGCGCTACATAATTGCCAAACAATGGCACTGTCGCTTTATGAGTGTGTGTGACCCCTTCCTGTCCCCTCTGTACCTTATAGTGCTACGCTGCAGGCTCGCAGCCTGTGCTGGGCCCATGGCAATCACGACCATTTATTCGACTGCCTAACAAAGTGGACAATGTGCACTTTTTTCCAGGCCCTGTTTGCATTGGCCAGGCCATCAACCAGCATGCACTCACTCGCACAAAGACACACTCGTGCAGTTTGTGGATGCACTACAAAATGTTTCCACAATTCGGGCGTAATTGGATAACGGTGCATGGCAGAGCAGCAACAAAAACCCTCCACATTGTTGCACAAATTGTCTCACACACGTAGACCGTTAGAGCGACAGCATAGCATAAAAATAGTAAATAAAACGAAAAATAAAGAAATGCTAACGAGCGAAAGAAAAAGCCATTCTTAATATGGAAAGAGTGTATTGTTGTTAAATTGAGACAATATTTGAGATAAACCCAACGCCAATTTGTAAATTTACAACACACAGCTTAAGAAGTATTACTAACTATAAGAACTTATTAGAAGTATTATTAACTAATCGGATTGCTCAGGTGATACACTAGTTCGAGTGCTGCTTCAGAGTTATTTTAAGTTCTTTGAAATCAATTTTAATCGACATAAATTAAATAGCTTTCGAGCATACTTTGGTTTATTGAAATTTTAATTTCATTGTAATTTTCTGTATCACACGAGCTCTGTTTTAAAAGTATCGCGAATTTTGAGTTTTTTTTTTTAATATTATTTGTTTATTCATGTATATTTATTCTTCTTCAGCTGCTTCGTCTCCAATTTCAGAAACAAGATAAGATTACGGGGGCAGTAAATTCCTCTTCAGAGTATAAATTACAAATAGTTTTGTAATGAATTTGTTTATTTCCATAAGCAAAGATGCTAGCAAATACTCTTTCTCTCACTATCTGCCTGCTCTCTTACATATACTTACATTAAATATATGATTCTATATACGTATGTAAAGTGCATAATTTGGAGCGAGAAAGTAAATGCATTGAGCTAAAAAGGTCTTTTCATATTATGACAACAATTGCTTGGCATTGCCGGAACTTTGCACGAGCGAAGTTCACTTTTAACCGCATCATTTGGCCCCCGATTGGCCCGCCGCTCACCTCTATTCGCCTGGCACCTGCATCGATTCTTAGATCTGCCTTGTGCCAATTTGCCTTACCCTATGCAGCAGTTGACTACATATTTATTTTAAATTTTCCGCTCTCTTTTTGCTGCATTCAAGCCGAAAACACCGGAAGTTTCGATAAGGTTGCCACTGCCACATATGGGGGCGAGGCTGTGGGTATGACTGGGTGCCTGTGGCTGAATATGGGCGGGCGGCTGTGGGTGGCTGTGGTTTGGCTTGGCTTCGATTGCCTCATTCACATTTTGCCTCATGACACGCCAGCCATAAAATATTTGGCCAAAGTGCACTCACACATGCATGGCACACACACGCACACACACATTCACACGGCCACACTCACGTAGTTGTGGTTTCAATAATCAATGAGTTGATTTTATGAAATTTCTGTTTACCTCACTCGCCTAGCCCTAAAACACTGGAGCAGCGCCATATTTTCGGCTTAAAGCATCCACACACACACACACACACACACAGCTACACACCCACAAAGACACACATGTATACATATATATAATTTTATTAACGACAATTTTCAAATTTTTTGCATAAATTTTCGTATTACCGCATTTTTGCAGCAGCCAAAAGCATTGCCACGTAACCCTGGACGAGGCGTGTTGATTGCGGGCGCATAGGTCAAATGAATTTTAATTAATATTTTAATTAATAAAATCGCCAGCTTGCTTATCGCGTTGCCATTGCTCTCCCTACTGCTGTCTCATTTGCCAAGTTCGATTTCTTTTTTCGTTTACTGGTTCAATTTCTCATACGTAATCAATTTTCTATGTTCTCTTTGTCTTTCCAGAAATACCGTATTTAATTTAAGCATACATGATCTCGCGGAACAGCAACGTCTCGTGTGGACGTCGCCGGAGGATGATACCAAAATGTGTCTCGTCAAGGGCAAAGATGAGGTGAGTGGAACTTGCAATTTGTTAAGTGAATACAGCAGAAGTAAAATGCTAACAAGAGAAAGGAATAAAAGTAAAGATATAAAAAGTAAAGATTTCATGATAGTTTTAGTCTTTAAGGAAGAACAAAATTTTGACTAGAAGATGCTCTGTTTGTAAGCTAAAGCAGATGTGAGTAGCTTCACAAATTCGTTGTCTTTTTCCTTTTTAATTTGAGAGAAAGAGAAGATATTTCATTAGCTTTAAATAAATTTTTGCATTAATTTGATCGACACAGAATCAGTCAAATAGTTGCGCGTCTTGGCATCCACTTCAATTGCTCTTTTCAATTAACTTTTGTAAGCCTTTTTTGGTCATTTCCATTTTCATTGCAATTGTGGGCCAATGCTTCCGTTGCAGCAGCAACTTGGCGGTAAGAAAACAAAAGCAATAAAATGTTTTCCGCTCTTTCGCTCGCTTAATCGCACTCAGCTCAGGTTGGCTACAAATCTGTGTCAGTGTTGCAGCTGTAGGGAAATTGATGAATGCGACTTGTGTTCTTGTGTTTCCTTGACCCATTCTATTTCGAATTGTATTTATTATAAGCATATTGGCAATTGAAACATTCACAGAAAAGTTGTTAAGAAAAACTGATTTCAAACAAACGAAAAACATAAAGTAAAGCACGAAGGTAAACATTTTTGAATTAAATTTGGTATTGGCAAAGCACAGCTGGTGCTGGCTCTGCTTTTCTGTTGCTGTTGCTGCTGCTGTTGCTGTTTCGTCTTCCGTTTCCGGTCAAGTAAACAAAATGGCGCACACCGCAAGGAGAAATGAAGGACACGCCTGCACCCCAAACCCGTTGCATGCTCAAGTGCACTTCTGGCATTGCTGACGCTGACGTAATTAAGCAACACTTGTTAGGGGTCTGCCCGCTGCACTCATACAGCCAGCCATACACTGTTTGTTACCTGTGCTGGCAGCAGGTGTAATTTGTTGAACTCAATTTGCTTCACTTGACTTGCCCCCAACTAGGTATTTATAGCTTCAAGTTGGCCAAAAGGAAAGAATTAACCTTTTGTTTCTTTGGGCAACATCTGAAAAGGGTTGCACTGCGGCTGCCAAACCCCTGGTGCCCCCCCCCCTCTCTCTTTCTATGGCTGTGTGTGTCAATAGCGTGCATGGCCGCCATTTTACAAAGGTTGCGCCCTTTGACTGCAGCGCAGCCAAAAATAAAATAAAATAAAAATGAGAAACTAAATTGCAATAGTTAGCATATTATATGCACTAATGAAAAGTTCAAATTTACAATTTTAATTAGCTGACATTTCGCTAATGCGTTCTGCCCTCTAATAGAGATAGTAATCGCCTGAGCAGCGCCTAAAAGCCGGCTGCACTTTATTGCCTGCAATGCAATTAGGAAACCAAAAAAAAAAAAAAAAAGAAAGAAAAAAGCCAAACAAAGCACGCGATTTTCCTTTTATCTAGCCCAATTAAATGGCTTGCATAGGCTTAGCGGAAGTAAACTAGTTGAAGTTATGCACAAAAGGTATTTGAGTTGGGCGTTACTGATAAAGATAACTTGAGAATTAGTTGCTTTGGCTTAGAATTTATGCAGTTTGAGGATGATTATATAGAGTTTATGTAACTATATAGCTTAAATTTCTTTATGATAAATTAAAGGCCAAATTTAATGCAGTTTCAGTTTCAATTTATTTAGCCTCAATAAAACATTTAATAAAATAAACTTTTCATATCGACTTATGTATTCAAACAATATTTTAGGCAAATCGAAACTTTAAGCTTGCATCAGCTTAAGCTTTGTGCCATGCCCACAAACAAACGCTCGAGAACTTTTCTCATTTGCGCTGAATATTTTAAGGCCAATTGTGCTAACAACAACAAAGCCAAAAATTCATGGCTGATAAATTTGTTGAGCGCAGCAGAATTTATTTTTGTTTTCGCCTCTTTTTTTTACAAAAGCTGCGAAAAAATTTCATTTTAATAACGCGCTCAAAATGGCGGCCACGTGTTATTTTTTGTGTGTTCCCTTTTGAACCCATAATGGCGGCCATTTTATAAAAAAAAAAACAATAAAATGCGAAGCGGATGCGGCGAAAATTGGGCTTCAAAATGGGTTACTTTCGGGTAGGAACACGAGCACACAAATATGATTATAACTGCAGCGATAAAGACATACATATATAAACATACATACATGTACACATAAATATATAGAAGAATGTTGTACATTTTTAATTGATTTATTATTTGGCACAATGTTTTATTAAAGCTGCGTAAACAGCAGCACTACAGCGACAGCCGGCCCACAACAAACTGAGGCCCCCGGCCACAGTCGTTTGGGTGCCAAAAGAGCAATTGGCCAGCCAGAAGTGCTGAGCAGCTGCGAAAAAAATTGACTGAAAATAAATATAAAACAAAAAAAAGCGACGACCAGTAAAATGAACATTAAAAGCGGTCAGCCGAATATAAAAATCTCTGTTGGGCGGCTGGATGTGTGCATATGGCGTGAATTAATTAATAAAAGCAAGTTAAAATATTTGATTAAATTGTTTAAGTCCAATATTAATGCGGGCCGTTCATGCAAAAATATTTGCGCGCAAACTTGGCCGGCGTTAAAATATTTGCCCACACGAAATTCCATGTGGCTTTGTGAATTGAATGAGTCCGAAGTGACATAAGAGATGGGCTGGCAGATGAAAGATAAGAGTGAAAGAGGGAGTCTTGCTTGGGAAAGAGTTCCACTCCTTCGTCCTTTTACAGGAAGATTTTGAATATACATCTGACTACTAAACTAGTAGGATGAACCTAGACAGAAAGCCACAGCAATCAATCTGCATCAAGGTCAGCTTAATTTTACCTTTCGTAGCCTGCTTTCAAGTTTCACTACAGCGAATACCAGCTTAAATTAATCATTAACAACAAAAAGAAAAAGTAGTCAATTGAGTGTTACGAAAAACAAAATTCCATTCTCTGTATTGTTTTTGGGGCTTTGGGTTTAATTCCTTCTTTTTTTTGGCGCTGGCAGACGATTAATTTTGAATAGCAGATGAAATTTTGTCAAGCCTTCGGCCAGAGGAAAGACAACAAAAATGGATAGGCAAATAAACAACACTAAAGTGGGCGTGGCGAGAGGTCAACAGATTATGTGGACTGCTCTGGCGAGGGCGGTGGGCGTGGGCGTGGCATTGGCAGAACCTTAGCTAAATTAATGAAATTCCGAATGCCACAGCAAAATGTCAAAACGAAATGAGTGATTTGAATGGATGTACGCATTTGAATGGGCAACTGGCGCGCCCACACCCCACACCCCACAACTCACTCCGCCCAAACAACAAGTGAGATAAATGAGCGTGCGATAGTTGTTGTGCAGCTGAACGCATAGTTGCATGGATGTATTGAAACAGGCAACGACACCGAAATGCCAAGGTACTTTTGCGGTCTCGGACTCGGCCCCAAACAGAAGGCCGCTGTCTATGTCTATATTGATGTGGGTGTATGGCTGTTGCTGCAGCTGTGGCGGTGGCTATGGATGTTGAAAGTGTTGGCCACCTGTGCATAAATTAAAAGCACTTCCGCACTCCAAATGAACAATAGCCGTCCGGTCAGGGCTGAGCTTCAACACAAATGAATTTCAAATGCCATTTCACACACACAGCGACAGAGAGAGAGGTGGAGAGAGAGAGAGACAGAGAGAGAGAGAGAGAGACTCTGACACCCATATGCCATTCTGTGCTTCTTCAATAACAGCAATTCAGCATTTGGTCAGCCATTGAATGGACCGGAATCATTCGAGAAAACCCACCCAAAAGAATTCTCGGCATATTTCAGAACCAATTCACATTACTTTTGTTCCAGAGAACACACGCAGTTGATATTCAAATAAATATTTAAATGATTTTAAAGAGTTTCACTTTATATAAATGGAATAAGATTTATTTTACAAATATTTAAGCCAAAATACACCTACGCTGTGCTAAGTATTATACATCAAAGACAGTTTAACTTTGACTCTATTAAAGATATTTTATCTGTGTAAATAATTAACACAAAATTCTTCACTGTTGCCAACATTTCATTGTCTGTGCAACTGAAGCTCCTTTTAAAGAGACGCAAGTCCAATTAAAGGGCAGAAATTCCTGTTGCCCGTTCGTTTTGTGGCAGCTGGTCTTATTTTTCTTGCTGCTTGACTTTCATTTTTCAGCTGGCCATAAAATTATTTAATGAAATGCTATTGTGAGCTATGCTCAACTCATTTGCTACGATGGACCGGTCCGTCAGAGGTCTCACCTCGTCTTACGCGCCCTCTCCCTCTCTCTCTATCTCTGTGTGTTTGCGTATCATTAACAGAACTGTTGCCTACCTGCAGGCGCTTTGTCGAGTGGAACTTAACTCGAATGCTGGTAAGCCTTGAAATTGATGGGCTTTCGTTCGAGCAGCAGGCGCTGGCAATGCGAAATTTCTGAAATTTTGCAAAACATTTGTTTGTCAAATTGCACAGACCAGGCACGACCACGCCCCATTTGGCTAACAAATTTGCATTGTCAACGTGATTAACGACAAATTTACTTTATTTGATTTCTCTGCCAGGTAATGTTTTTATCATTGGCACATCTATGCATAACTTAGCTTCAAGATCCCCCAAATGTTAATACTAATAATAATCCAATACATAATTAACAGTCGCGTATGCTAATTTTCAGCATTCATAATTTTTGAATGCATTTTGGTAATTTGCTTTTATTCCAAAATAATTCGCTAGTATCAAATAAATTTGCGTTTAATTATGCGTTGAACATTAAAAACAGAAGAGAAAATAAATAAACAGGAAAACCACGTGAATGAAACAGCTTTAAATACCGATTTCTGCATGCCCTGTAAAGTCTAAATAGAAACGCGTTACAAAATATATAATAGAAAAATATATAAATATTTTTCTAATATGGCTGAAATTTGATCATTAGAAATGAGAAAAATTCATTGAAAACAAAATTCCCAATATATTTTTAGAATTTTTTAGCGTTTTAAATTGTGATTAGAAAATATTCATATTTATCTTATTGAAATATTGTTTGATTTCCACTCAATTCGAGTTAATAAAAATCATGCCTTGATGATACAAATTCAACCATAATGCAACTATTTTTGTTACTATACTAAAACCTCAATGTAGTTTCTATAATTTTGCCATACATTTGAACGCCTACCGCACGAAAAACAGTAAACGGCAGCCATAACTATCAAACCAGAAAATGAATACATTTTTTGCATATTTTCAGGCAACTTGTATGGCGTGTATTCAAACAGTTTCTTATATATATTAAAATGAAAATAGATAGTTATAAATATGTTTAAAAACTACGAATATAAACACACAAATCTTTAACTTTCTTAGCTCTACAATCAAATTTGTACTCATCTGTTATGCTATACCAGCAATCTGTGTTTCCATCAACCCATTTTATATGCGGTTCAATTTAAATGTAATTGAAACTTTTGTGGAAAATTAGTTCTAGATAACCTGCAAGTCATTTGTGTCTCTATTAGTCTAACATATTGATTCATCCTTTTTTATGTGAAACACTTCACTTCTTGATATTTGAAACATCGATTGTAAATTCTGTTTATCATTCTGTACAAGCTGAAATACTAAACATCAACTACAGATGTGAAAAAAGCGACAACAAAGCGAAAACAATAAACGGCAGCCATAACTTGCAAAGCAGAAAATTAATAAATTTTCCGCTTAATTGCGTTCAGCTCGTTTAGCAAGCATTGAAATAGTCTCTTTTATATATGGTATATGTTGTCTCTTGTATGTTCGTGTTAATTACAACGGCAATAATGTAAAGTACAACAAAAGTAGAAGTGACAGAGCCCCACCAAAAGCCACCCGAAAGCACCCAATCCAGTGACAAACGCGCGCCGCTCCACACTCCAGTCGCATGCCTGTGTAATTGTTGTAAAATGTGTTTTGTTAATTTATTTAAATTTATGCTCAAATGCGGCAGGCAGCAGGCGGGCAGGCAACAACAACTAAACACATAACTAACAGCCAGGCAACAACAAACCGCAAACTAAGCAACGCCAACAACAACAAAGGCAGCCGCAGCCATAGCAACAGCAACAACAGTCACTTCGCAAAGCAGCAATGCAAACAGTTTAAATATTTAAAACAATAAACAAAATGAAATGGAATATGCTGTCCATTTTACCCAATGCCAACAATTTCCCAAGGCGCTGCGAAATTTATGAAACTAGTTGAGAGAATTTCACAAAATTAGATAATAAAATGGATAGTTGCACGAATTGCACAAAAACAAAAACAAAAACAAAAACAAAAGAAAAAAAAATAAGGAAAATATTTGCATTATATATATGCGATAAACAATTTCAATAATATATTATATTAAAACTAAAACGTAAACTAAAACTAAAACTCAAAAAGTATTTAATGAAAATTCATAAATTTGTGCCGCATTCGCAATGATAAAATGTTTATATTGGTAAAATAAACAAGTTTTTATTAAATAAATTTGCATCTAAAAATTTTAATTTTAATTTGCTTGAAACACAGTTTCAAAAACCATTTTTAATTAAAATTCTCATATTTATTACTATTTTCAAAGTCTCTCAAAGGCTATGCTTGCGGCAGGCATGGCAATTTCCACACGAAATATTATTTATATAAATATAATAATTTATAAAAATAAAATGTATACATAATGTATCATATAGATATTTTATATTCTTTATTTCAGAAGAATACAAGATATATAAGATATAAAGGTAAAGATTAGTAAAAAAAAGATTCCAAATGAGAATAAAAAATTATAAAATTGGAAGCTCACAAACACAATGCTAGTCCAGTCTAAGGATGAACTGACAGAAGTAGAAGAAGATAAACACAGAGACAGATGAGAGATAAAAAAAATAAAAAATTAGATTAAAAAAATTAATGTATCTTTAGTCTTTCACAATATAGCGCAGCAAATGTTTACTATAGTATCCTATATAATTACGAAAAAAATTATATAAGAATATTTTATTACTCATATTTTAAATATTTATAGGGGTCTAAGGGGTATTTAATCTTCGTGCTTTCTTGCTCCATTTGTTATATTTGTAATATTATAAAATGCTATTGGGTCATTTGAAGTTGCAGCGAGGTGTAATTTCCGTTAGAATTTTCATTTCCCTGCGCAATTCTTCACATTATTGGCCTCAATTTTCCAGGTAAAAGCCAAAACGGAAAATGCGGTTAGCTCTATGCAATGGTGGATAGTTCGGCGGTGCAGAGGCACAATCAGGACAATGCAAATGTTGCGGCTGGTTGTGAGTAAGCGGTGCGTGTGGGCAACATAAATTGCAAGAACTAAAGCCAACAGAGACAGGAAGAGACAGAGAGAGAGAGAGAGTGTGAGGGAAAATCGAAATATGTTTAGTTATACGACAAAAGCGACATGTGCACTGTAAAATTGTGAAAATTAGTAGGCAAACAAACAAAATGCTTAAATATTTTAACAGAGGCTGAAAGAGACAGCGAGGCCAAATGGAAAATGTTGTCTGCTTGTTGAGTTGCAATGGGGGAAAATTGCAAATGATTTGTCATGTTGCAGTACAGTGCACTTCCGGTGCTGCGCCAGAGGGAGGCCGTGGGGGCTCTTCCCCAGATGTGCAAAAGTTTAGCATACTTTTGCGGGGCAGCCCCCTAACCCGACTGTAGCTACGTTGGGCACACGCTGCGTATGCGTATTTTGCAGGTGCATGGCAAAACGTTCGCATTGCCTTTTAATATTTATTGAGTTGCAAGTTAGTTAGTTCACTTGCCCCACGGCCCCGACTGCCGTTTAAATGTATTTGTTACGCATTAAATATTTCAATTTGCAAAACATTTATGCAAAACAAGCATACACAGATGACATACATTGACGGCTGCTGGTGCTGCTGCTGCCGGAGCTGTTTTGGCCTCGTTAGGCAGAGACTCGTCCTGCATATTCAGGCCAAATGGCAAGCGGAAATGCAAGTTTTTGATGAACATATGCATATGCTAGTACTTGATGCATCTTCTTCATTTGGCATTTTCACTACCGTTTTGCATTTTCCATTTGCCATTTCCCATTTGAAATTAGTGCACAGAATGTTTGAGCAACAGTTCGCTTGCGTATTTAGTGCATAATAAATGTTTTCTGGCTTTTCTTTTTCGACTCGCAATGCTTAACAAATTACTGCAGGCAAAACTGGCGAACCCATGCGATTTTCTTTGTTGAAATTCGCATTTGAAGTGTAACTAGAAATTATTAATTAATGCAGTTCTTAGAGCAGCAGCTGACGCTAAAATAAATTGTAACTTTCTTCGAAGTAGAAGGTAAATATTTTGCCATGAAGTTGGCTTATGAATCTGGCTCACATTTCGTATGCATTGAAGCTCAATGTGCATTCTAATGAATTTATTGCAAATTATATTTATTCTGTATGCTCATATCAAGCATAAATAGTATCAGGTTTGATCCTTACTACAATTTGATTTCAGCTTACAAAATGACTAAGTTCAGCTAGCACCTCGCGAAATTAGTTAGACTGAATCGAGCAACGTAAAAATAATTAGAAAAATAAATTTCTATACCAACTTTATAGAATCGTAAATAAATCTATAATAAATAAAATACAACACAAACATATTCGAAAAACTTTTGCAGCTAGTGAATATTTCGCAAAATACAAAAATAATTTATATTCAAAAAATGTATTTAAATATAAATGAAATTGCAATTTATTAATAATTGTTTTGTTCTTGTTCTTATTTTACCATTTTCTAGGAGGCCTGCCAGAACTATATACGCATCATGGTGGTACCCTCGCCGGGTCGCCTGTTCGTCTGCGGCACCAACTCATTTCGGCCCATGTGCAACACGTACGTGATCAACGACAGCAACTATACGCTGGAGGCAACCAAGAATGGTCAGGCTGTGTGCCCCTATGATCCGCGCCACAACTCAACCTCCGTGCTGGCGGGTAAGTGGACATTTTACAGTTACCTTTCCATCTATTGTTCATACGCTCTGCTAGTTATAGAACGTATAAATCGCTATCGACATTTGCAAAAAATGCAATTACCTCGCGGGCAAAATACAGCCACGAATATGAATGCGAATCGAATCACATTCAATTGCATTTATATGGGCATATATATAGATATAGATGAATATATATATAGATATATAAATGAATATATATACACACATTTATATGTGGCTTTTTTGCCAGTTGCAAATCGGATATAAATTGTCATTCCACATGCAATGCGGCGCAAAAGTATTTGAATTTATAAAGCTGACTTCTTTGAGTGAGATGCGCGTGATAAATTTTGCATTTCACAATGTTGTTGTTTGACGGCACTGCTCTGAATAATGTGTTGATGTGATGTGAAATATATTTGCCCCAAAAATAAAATATGAAATATAAAATATATATTTTATTTTTCCTCTGTTTTCCTACGTTTCTTTTTTACTTTTTATGACAATCATTTTGCATTTGTTTGGGGCTTTTCTTTTTGCTGCTCTGCGCTTTCAAATTTTATGCGATATTTATGATTGGGTTTTGCGCATTTTTGTGGGCGTGGCACATTTGGCATTATTTATACAATTGGCAACAAATTGATTAAATTCCAATTGCAGGTATTAAGAATTCGATTTGCTCTTTTTTTATCAATAAAGTTTTCAATTGGCAAATAATAGAAAATTTCATAAAATATATATAGAATCGGTGAAGAATAAATTTAAATGCTTTTGAAATTGATGTGAGTTAGATATCTTTTTGGTTTTGGTGATTATATGTCTTGGACTGCGATCATTCATATGAAATATCATTTGAAATTCTTCCCTGAAAATGAATATATTTTGCTTTATGCTTGCATCATAATTCTATTAAATTGATTGCTTTTAACTTTAAGACTTTTAATTTAAATACTGTCAGAGTAGTTCAAGCTGCCTTTTAAGGGTTCTGACTCTGCTAATATTTCATGACCTGAAATTGCTGTGGCAAATTGTCAAGAAATCAAGCAATAAACATGCAATTTTGACACCTAAATGCCGCACCATAAACGCAGCCCCAACTCTTGCTCTGTTCGCCCCAAACGCAGCTTGTGATAATATTTCCACTTGGCAGCCATAAATCGACGCGTTTTTCGCGAGTTGTTGCTGAAGTTTCACAACGTGATTTGTTTGCATTTCATTGTCTGCACACAAATTTGGGTGGGGTGTAGAGTGTGCGTGTGTGGGTGTGTGTAGGTGCTACCAAAAACTTTTACGCTGGGGCAAACAAAACTGCGCCAAACACAAGCTGACGGCTCTTGTGCCATAATATCGATAAACGTTTATAACTAACTTCAAAGTGTTTGTGGTCATGTGTTTGTATGCGTAGTAAATATGTATTTACAACTGTGTGTGTGCGTGTGTGTTGTGGAGGAGGCTAAGTGTTGCGGCAAACTTCCGGCGGATGCAGCCAACATCTGGGCCACATCCATGGAGGCTGCCGCCGCTTACTATGTGGGTCATAAGAGTTTATCATCAACAAGCTGCCACATCCGGCGTCCTCGGCAACCTGAAGGCAGCCAAATAGTCAGCAGCAGCAGCTATCGTCAGTTGCCATTTTGCTTATGGGCTTAACACCATTTTGTATACTCTGTGAAGTTTGTTAAATGGGGTATTATGGTTAGTATAAAGTGCTTAGCTTTGGGAGCCAACTCAATGAAACTTTTTTCTTGGGACAATTTTCATTAAATATATTTATATATATATGTGATTCCATATTGAATATTGCTCTAAAATCGATTAATATATGCTAACCATCTGAAGTCGCGGTATCTGCGAGTCGAGCACTGCCAACTAGATTTCTTCGTCTTCACTTTTTTTGTTCTTATTTCACATTGATTGCGCTTTATGGTGCTAATATTAAAACGACATTTTTACATATTGCTGGCGTTGCTTTTGCCATTTTGCTGCTCTCGATTTATCGACAGGATTTGGATATTAAACGGGCGGGACACGCTGCCAAGGCCCGCCATGTTGTTTAGATTACAAATTGGCCAAAAAAAAAGCTGAAAAAATGAAAGAAAAAAGCTAAAAAGCAGCTAAACTGAAAATGTTATCAATTCAGTTTCATTCGTGACAGTGGGCGTTGTGGCTTGTGGGCGTGGCTCATGATGAACTTCTTCTATGCTCATTTTTTTTGTTTTTTAGATTTTTTAGTAACAACTTTGTTCACAGGTTCAATTTGATTTTTTTTGTTGTTGTCGTCGTCGTTGCTGTGGCCGCTTTCCTAACGCTGAGCGAAAAGTTCGTGGACAACATTTTTGTGCCAATTTCGTTGTAAAAATATTGTTGTAGCCATGATGAAGTTTTCAATTGCTTTTGCCACCAAAAGGGAGAGTGGGAGGGAGATGTTGGGGGAGGCCATTCAACCATTCTGTCACGCTTTCAATATGACGGAAGGAATCTATTTTTGTTCGATTTAAAAGTGCATGCGAAATAAATTTCAATCGCAGGACATATTACGAAAGTTTGGCAATAAAAAAATTAAGCCAAACTTCAGTTGTTTTCCTTTTGCACAGCTGTAAGGCATTGGCGAGATTGGCATGGCGATTGGCTTCGAAAATGAATTGACAATTTGTCCGCCTTTGTCACTTAATTGACTAAATGTTTTTGGTGCACTGCTAAAACGGAATTAAATTGCATTCTTGAAGGCGAAAAGGGCAGAAATAACCCAGGCATATATCTACATATCTATCTAAGCTCTTCTTTAATGGAAATTCCTTCAGATTGACCCATTTTCCAAGTAAGCATACCCAAATGCTGGGCATTAAAACATCTAGTATAGACTTAAATACTTGATATTTATATATTTTGTGAGCTGAATATTAAGTATACGTATTTATGAAAACAAAAACGCGCGACACTTGGCCATTCGGGCCGTTCGGGGGTTCGTCGTGAAGCACTTGAAAATATGGCTTAAATGCCTTACTGATTCGCGCATCACGCCTCGGCAAACAATGCGAACAATAGTAATAAATAATTTATAAGTGCGCATTTGCCACATTAATCACGGGCCGACACTGAAGCATGAAGCCTGAAGCCTGAAGCCTGCCAATGGCAATGCGCAAGGCAGCAGCAGCAGCAGCAGGAAAAGCTGCCGCTCCAAAAAGAGCTGTAGGTTAAATCCCTGGGTAAAAAGTTTGCCCGCTCCAAAGCCGACGCATATTAATTTCGGCACAACCTTTCGCTCTAACCAGCGAAAGGGCGGGGGACACTGGCATCGGCGAAGCGTACAAATTGCCATCACTTGCGTTCAATTTTAGACTTTTCCAAGCAAATGCACAGACGCGATTAAAACGCTGACGAATGGCGACATGAACGATGTGCGCCGGCCTGGTGAAGGCGCAAAATGTCAAGGACCAAAAACAGAGCGAGCGCCCGGGCAAGGACAGCACAGATTGCTCGTCCGTTTACCCTGTTTGCAAACCTATTTGCATTTTGTGCGCCTACAATACCAAAAAAAAAAGAAAATGAAAAGAGGAAAAACTCGGAGCTGGGCCAATTTTGGTCGCGTCGCCAATTTTGCCTTTTTAAAGCTCGAATCGCTTACTGAAGCTGACGGCGGAATTCGGCGCATTTTCCCATTTGCATATAACCGGAAATAAAGCTCGCGCGTGTGTGAGTCGTTTGACCTTTCATGCAATGCGCCTTGGGCTAAGCTTGAGTCACGCATGCATCGCGAAACTTGCAATTCTTAAATTAAATATGATTAATTTAAATGCAACTTATATATGGTATATATACACTTTTCTATGATACAGTTTTAATTTTAAAGATGTGTTGTTTAAACTACAAATTGTTCGCAAGCAGTGCAAAAGTACCCTCAACATTTAATCATGCAGCCCGAAAGTATGCAACAAAAACTTTAATTGAAAAACTTGCTTGTGAACATTTTAACTTTTTAATAAAATAAATATATTAATTATTAAAAATAATAAATGAAATATATATAGCTCCGCAAAGTTTCTATAATACTGTATATCATTTGAAAAAGCATTTCATATGAAATAATAATTATTTTGAGAATTATTCCCAAGCAGTGTAAAAAATTCTCTCAATATTTAATCGTGCAGCCCGAAAGTATGCAACGCATTTTGAATTATAGTTCTAGTTCCACTGACCTCTCCAGAGCGTTAGTTTTTTAGATAATTGTAATTATTTCAATTGAAATGCGTGACAAACACTTGCAGCAGAATAGTAAAATGCAAATATTCGCCTGTGTTCAGCAAACGTTTAAGCAAATCGCATTAAGTTCGTTTTATTATTTTCCTATTAATTGCATTGCAATCGAGTGAGTTCAAGAACAAAAACAATAAACGAAGCAATGCTTTAAGTCGGGGCATTAAAAGCAACAACAGCAAAAACAACAACAGCAACAACAACAACAGAATTGTATATGTGCGAGGACGGGTTCCATGCAAATACTTGCATAAGGGAAACATATGGGTGTCGTTGGCATGGGTGTGGCACAAGAGACATACAAAATGAATATCAATGAACTGCGAGAGCGACACAAACAAAAACACAATAAAAATGAGGCAACAGCAGCAGTAAATAAAAACAGAAACAACAACAAATGTACGAACAGCGCAATGCAAAATGTGACCTGGAATGAGTTGCCTGGATGGGTCGCGGGAGGTGGTGGCAGTTTTGTGCAAACTGGGCCAACGCTTGCAGCAGTTAAATAAATGATATTCCCCTGCTTGTAAGAGTGCGCATGTGTGTACTTGTGTGTGTGTGAGTTGCTGCAGAACTCATTAACTCTTGCTAAATGAGCACGAACATAACAACAGTCCCGGAAGAAGAGAACCTGCACAATGTTGTTCTATTTGATGAGATCAGCATTTGAAACAGAACTAGTTGATTACAAGTAGGCAGTTTGCCAAACATTGCTTGTCGTCCTCGATAGTATAGTGGTTAGTA